TTGTATTTGTATGTTTTTCTATTGTGTACATACTGTACCTATATTATTATGTTTCGCCTGTTCTGTTTTTACTAGAATAAAAATATGATCGATTTACACGCATAGAATATTACGACATGATTGAATAATATAGGTAATAATAATCGAACGGGATTTTCGATCGACTCACTCTATCCGAAATCACTAAGCATGCCTTCGCGTAGACATGGTATTATATAATACAGTGGACCCTCGATAACTCGAATCGGCAGGGGGCGAAAAAAATTCGAGTTATTGAAAATTCGACTTATAGAGGACCGAGTTATCGAGGTTCCACTATATATACTACACCAATAGGACACTAAAGTCCATATTATATGCATTTTTACAGTATATAACTATACATACTATAGTAAATAAATTATAATGCAGATTACAGGGTACAAACATTTTACTGCTTTTTAAGAAATTTAAATGGTTATGAGAAAAATTCAGAGCCTCTGTGGCTCTGTGGATTAAGAATTTATAAAAACATAGTTTTAGGACAAAGTAGTACTAAATTAATTTAATAGTATCTGGCCGCCTGGATGATACACAATATTGACCAGAATATTCGCCTGAATAATAACACCCAAATGCACTACATATTGTTGACCTTTTCGGGTGGGTGGGGGTATGTGCGAGAGGTGGTGGGCTTACTTTTGAGCAGACATAGATATCTGGCAGTGTGTTTTGGATGTACGGCGGAGACGTGATCGGTGTGCCTGTCTGAGAATGCGGTGACTGCAGTGTTAAAAGACTCGGTCTCCGGTTTCCAGTGGTGTTTGATGTGCCTTCCCGGTCACCAGCGTTCAGATTATTCGCGCATACCACTTTTTTCTCCTGCCTCCGCCGCTCGTGGCGGACGGCCACAGCAGGCATTGCTCCAATCATGGTTATTTCGTCTGTATTTTGTATAAACCGAGTAAATAAAATTAAAACGAAAAAAAAATACACAATAATGTTGAAAAAACCTCTATATTATGTTCAAAGAGTATTATATTATCATATTATATAATATCAATGATCCATATTCTCCTAACGATGGGCAGTACAGAACATAAATAATGACAGAGTCCAAAACAACTCTACACCTGTATAGTAAAGCAAGGGGATTCTGACATACGAACATTAGAATTCGAGTTTGAATAAAACGAAATCCAGTCGACACTCTGCAGTTCGTTTATAATCATTATTCATTCGAATATATTAAGTTTAATTTTAACGGTAGTAGTGTATAGTATAGTCTAATTATTAATAAGTACTAAACTTTTTGATTAAAAAAAACATTATTAATTATACAGTTATTAATGGTTATGCTTTCTTCAAGAAGTTGACTCAACGGGCTAAATATTATTAACATCTACACATAAATACACACAAATATTCTTTTCCAATTTGTTTAATAGTCATATATCTATCATATATCTATAGTGGCGTTCGCAGGAGGGGGRTTAAAGAGCTGAAACCCCCTCAGTGTCTGTATTATTATATTTTTATTTATTTATTTATTTTTTTAAATATTTATCATGTTTCATCTATTTAGTTAACTAGTATACAAGGATGTAATTTCATATAAGCTTATCTAATCCGTTAAGGATTAGATAAGCCTATAATAAAAAAGTATGAACCACTCTGTTGGCTGTGTTCAGTAGGTATCAGGTGGGTGGTGGGTTACTAAGATGGATGAGTTAAATTTGAATTTTATGATACCTATATTTCATTGTATTTAAAAAACAAATCTTAGTGAAAACTGCGTATAAAACTAGGATATTTTATTTTATCTTAATAATTATATTTTAATAGTTATTATATTTATAATATATTTTATTAGTTTTATTAATAATAGGTAATAAAGGTAGGTTCAATTGAAAAAAACTTTGTATTTGGAAAATTTTTTCCTAGAATAATAAGTGATTTTTGGATTACAGTATGAATTACTTATTATATGAGGGACCTTGCATTAAATGTTCAAGAATTCCCTATAAAAATTGAACATTCTATACATTTTTGGATTACAAATTAATTGTAGTTTTGTCAAAATTTGAAATTTAAATTTTAAATGTTAATCAAAAATAATTGTTCTGGTGTGTCGCTAATATTTTTAAATAGCCTTAAAAGAAATTTGAAATTTTTAAGAAACCATATGTTATACGTTTTTAAGCATTTTTACTGAAGACTAATATTTTATCGTCAGTTTTAGAAAAAAATAATCTGAATTAATCTAATAAAATACCAACAACGACTGTTTAACCAAGATTACCAATCAATTTCAATTTATTTTTCAATWATTTTTAAAAGTAATGAGAACTTTTATTTTCGATCTCCCAAAATACTAACTAAATCCAATTTTCTACCAACAACCTTTATCAAAGTTGAGGTTCAGAGCATTTTTGTTTAC